TGGTAATCTAGGGTGAATTTAGCATCATTGCTTGGGTGGGTCCCCTTATGGGGACTCCACTTGATGCCTGGTAGGTTAAGAAGTGTTTCCAGGCTGAGCATGGTGGTCTCACACCTATAATCCTAGCACCCTGGGAGGCTGAGGTGGGAGGATCACTTGAGGCCAGGAGTTCAGGACCAGCCTGAGGAAGAGTGAGACCCTTGTCTCTATAAAAAATAGAAAAATTAGCTGGGCATGGTAGCACATACCTGTAGTCCCAACTACTTGGGAGGCTGAGGCAGGAGGATAGCGTAAGCCCAGGAATTTGAGGTTGCAGTGAGTTATGATGATGCTACTGCATTCTGGCCTGGGTGACAGAGCAAGAACCTGTCTCAAAAAAAAGTAATCCATATTTACTGTAGACACAGAAGTTCAACAGGGTGGAGGATTATGGCTATGGCTGTGTGTTTTTCTCCCAAGACACCTCTTAGGTTGAACTTCCTTAATAAAGTGTGTTTGCTCAAGCCTCGCTCTCAATCTTGCAGGTGTGGGAGAAACCAAGCTTGCAGTGGTGGTTGGATCAGATCTATCAAAGACAACTTACATCTCTATAGTACCAACCACTGTGAGGCCCCAGCATGACTGTGTATTCAGAAATGCTCTCTGCCCAGTGAAGAATTTACACATTTTTTTATTGGGCAAAAATAACCACACAAAACTGGTCAGTCTCTGCGTTTTACAATTTAAGTGGCCAAATAATATTTTCTGTAACAAACATGTTTTAGAACTTAACCAATTAAACTGCTACTAGTCTTATGGTTGAAAGATTATATATACAGTCAGTACAGTTCCACAGTTACATGTCTCAGAAAGCCAAGTGTCTTCTTGTTAAATATTATTAAACATGGGGAAGGAATCAGTAACTGCAATATCAGGAAAAATTTATATATTTGTTGTTTCTTACTTTTTAAAAATTGTAGTAAAATTACACATAATACCATCTTAACGGCCCGGTGCAGTGGCTTATGCCTGTAATCCTAGCACTCTGGGAGGCTAAGGCGGGCGGATTGCTTGAGGTCAGGAGTTCGAAACCAGCCTGAGCAAGAGTGAGACCCCGTCTCTACTATAAATAGAAAGAAACTAATTGGCCAACTAATATATATAGAAAAAATTAGCCGGGCATGGTGGCGCATGTCTGTAGTCCCAGCTACTCGGGAGGCTGAAGCAGGAGGATTGCTTGAGCCCAGGAGTTTGAGGTTGCTGTGAGCTAGGCTGACGCCACGGCACTCACTCTAGCCTGGGCAACAAAGCGAGACTCTGTCTCAAAAAAAAAAAAATGCCATCTTAACCATTTTAAAGTATACAGTTCAGTGGTATTAGGTGTATTTGCATTGTTGTGCTACCAGCACCACCATCTGTCCAAAAACCTCTTTCATCTTGCAAAACTGAAACTTTGTACTTATTAAACAATGTCTCCCCATTCTTGTCTCCCCAGCTCCTGGCAAGCCCCATTCTACTTTCTGTCTCTATGAATTTGATTACTCTAGGTATTTCATATATAAGTTGAATCATACAGTATTTGTCTTTTTGTGACTGGTTTATTTCACTTAGCATAATGTGCTTAAGGTTCATCCATGTTGTAGTATGTGCCAGAATTTGCTTTCTTTTTAAGGCTGAATAATAATCTATTGTATGTATGTATTACACTTTGTTTATCCATTCATTCATAGATGCACACATTGCTCTATGCACACATAGATGCACACATAATAGCCACCTTTGGCTATTATGAATAATGCTGCTGTGAACATTGGTGTATAAATATCTCTTTGAAACTCCATTTTCAATTCTTTTGAGTATATACCCAGAAGTGGAATTTCTGTATCATAAGGTATTAGGAACCACTATTCTGTTTTCCATAGTGGTTGCATCACTTTACATTCCCAGCAGTGTCCAAAGGTTTTTACTTTCTCTACATCCTCTACAACACTTATTTTTTTATTTTTATCCTTTAGTTTTTAGAGATGGAGTCTCACTCTGTTGCCCAGGCTGGAGTACAGTGGCATGATCGTAGGTCACTGCAGCCTCAAACTCCTGAGCACAAGCAATTCTCCTGCCTCAGCCTCCCAAGTAGCTACAGGAGCTCACCACTATACCGGGCTAATTTTTTGTAGAGATGAGGTCTCACTCTGTTGCCCAGACTGGTCTCAAACTCCTGGTCTCAAGTGATCCTCCCAACTCAGCCTGCCAAAGTGCTGGAATTACAGGTACGAGTCACCACATCCAGCCAATTTTTTGTTTTTTTGATAGTAGCCATCCTAATGCGTGTGAGGTGATAGCTCATTGTGGTTTGATTTGCATTTCCCTAATGATTAATTTCTTCTTTTTTTTTAAGTTAAGTAAGAGCTTACATATAGTAAAGTGCCATATCTTGTAAGCACAGCTGAATAAACTTGTGCATGTGTACATACCTGTGATACCACCAGATCAAGATATAGAACATTCCTAATATGTCAGAAGGCTCCCTCATGTCCCCTCCCAGTCAGTAACCCCCAGAGGTAACCACTCTTCAGGAACATGTGTAGTTTTAATCTAACCTATGGCTTTTGCCCCACCCAGCCTGTTTCCAACAGTGCCCTTGCACAGTGTTCTCCAGCCACGGCAATGTTAACATTCTGTGCAACCTTCTCTTCCTTATCTTGCTGAGAGGGCGATTTCAGTGAAACATTTAAAATTCTACAAGTACTTATGTCCTCTAGATTAATTCCCCTCTCTTACAAGTCTTCTTATCAAATTCAAGTGCAACGTACAGTTCTGTAACCAAGATTTGTTTGATTCTACATAGGCTTAGGAGCTGATGTCTGCTCAGAGGTGGAATTACATTTACCGAGCTCATGGGACTCAGGTGGAAAATCGGAATGTCAATGTGCTCGTTAATGACAAGAAATATAATTGTTAAGCAGACAGGAATATTCTCATCAGCAACATGACCAGCACATTCTTTCCTGAAGGCAGATCTAAGTGAAAAGTCAAATTATGCACAGAAGGTGGTTTGGTGAGCATTTGACCATTCAGCATGATCTGTAAGCATTGTGCTGGACACAGGAGGAGGAAAGTGAATAAGAAAGATGAGGTTCTGTGTTCACGGATCCAAAAGTGCAGGGAGAAGACAAGCCCTGAACAGATAATCAGATTTCTAGGTTGAAAAAATAAAAAAAGAAGATTGCACACCTTAGCCTCTGCTTCTTCTCTGAATCCACTAAAATAACAGCACAGGGATTTTTTTTAAAAAGCAATGAATGCACTAGGACAAGGGTCAGCAAACTATGGTCCATGAGCCAAATCCAGCCTGCTGCCTATACAGCCTGCAAGCTAAGAATAGTTTCACATTCTTAAGTGGTTCGAAAAAATCAAAAAAGGAATGATATTTTATGATACATGAAAATGATATGAGATTCAGATTTCAGTGTCCATAAATAAAGTTTTGCTGGAACACAGCCATGTGTTCTATGTATTGTCTGAGGCTGCTTTTGTGCTACAATGACATAGTGGAATAGATGCAGTGAAGTCCATATGGCGTGTAGAGCCAAAAATATTTGCTATCTGGCCCTTTACTGAAAAAATTTGCCAACCCCTGCTCTAAAGCAACACTGTTCAATAGAACTCTTTACAATGATGGGAATGTTATATGCTGTCCAGTGCAGTAGCCAACCACTTCATGGCCACTTGTGTGGCTATTAAGCACTTGAAATGTGACTAGTGCAACTGAAATTTTATTTCATTTTAATTACATTTAAATAGCAACATGTGACCTGAAGCTACTATATTGGACATTGCAGCTGTAGAGAGCAAGAGAAAGGGTATCTGGATTGGGAGACACTAAGCACCACACCAGGTAGGGGCGCCATGCTGAAAGCAGAGGGAAGTTCACGTAAGGAAGGTGGAGGTGCCCTGCTCAGCCCCGTCTTCTCAGGCTTCTTTCCTAACCCAGACTGCAGGAGGCTGAGCTTGAATAGGCCAGAACAAATAATGAGACTTGTAGGTTAAAAAAAACATAAAACAGGCCAGGCGAGGTGGCTCACACCTGTAATCCTAGCACTCTGGGAGGCCGAGGTGGGCAGATTGCTCGAGGTCAGGAGTTCAAAACCAGCTTGAGCAAACGTGAGACCCTGTCTCTATTATAAATAGAAAGAAATTAATTGGCCAACTAATATATATAGAAAAAGTTAGCCGGGCATGGTGGCGCATGCCTGTAGTCCCAGCTACTTGGGAGGCTGAGGCAGGAGGATTGCTTGAGCCCAGGAGTTTGAGGTTGCTGTGAGCTAGGCTGATGCCACAGCACTCACTCTAGCCTGGGCAACAAAGCGAGACTCTGTCTCAAAAAAATAAATAATTAAAAATAAAACAAAAAACTGCACAGGATTATACTAAGGGAGCATTATCTTCTCCTGAATATAAGGTGGGAGAGTCTTTCCTGAGAATTTGACTGGCTCAGAGGGAAAGACCTAAAGATCCTGACATTGGGGGCTCCCTAATAAATAGTCACACCAAAGCTCACAGTTGATAAACCTTTCTCACATGTATACAGCTGCCAATACATTCTAGTCTAAGGATCATCGTAGATTTGGGGAAATCCTATAACACATAAGAAAGGGAACAAACAGATAAACAGACTTAGGCAAAGATGGATGCTAACATATATTTTACTAAATTAGGATATTCATGAAGTTGGATGAGAAAAACCAGTCTATTTTCACAAAGTTCAACTTAAATTGAGCATTTCCTTCAATTGTGAACATAAGCAACAAACCATAGTGAGTATCGTGACTTCATCACCAATAGAAATCAGGCATTTTCCTATCCCACTGCTATTGTTGAAGTTATTTCAAAATATCATTTATGTTCATCATAACTTTGAAATTATGGTCCTTATTAGACATGCTGCAAAATCTTGTGACATGGAAGCATACATGTTACTCTATGACGGATTTGCCTTTTAAATATTTTGATAATTATATTTCAATATAAATGATTTCTTTTGTAATTCTAGGTATAGAATTTTATTATTTTAAAAATATTATGCTGAGAAGGCATCCTCAGGCTCCATCGGATTGCAGAAGGGCCCATGGCACAAGAAGAGTTAAGAACGTCTACAATAATGTTCTTTTTAGAGCTATAAGAGGATGGGGAATGCAGATAATAATTATCAAGCACTGTGTGCGGATTTTAAACCTCATAATTCTAAGAGGTAGGTCTTATAATTATTTTGATAGCTTTCATTAGAATTATGAAATGCTTACTTCGTCATTTTGGTGGGATATTTAGAGGCAGGAGAGGTGAATAGATGTGCTTAATCAGCCCTCTTGACCCAAAAGTCCAGTTTTCTTTTGTAAAAATAGCGTGTGCACATCATAAGCAAGTTAGAGAAGAGCAAAGAGGACACAGAAATCGTCCCCAACCCCACTACCTGTTTGGCGGACACCATTCCAGACAGCAGCCTATGCATATAGACATAAATCTATATATACACACATATAACTTATATAAGGATATGTATAAAGATATATAGATAAATAATTTTAAACAAAACAGGATCAAACTACACATTTATTTTTATTATTTTATTTTGTTACTAAATAATACATTGTGGTTATTTTCTATATCACTAATAGTAATTGAGGCAGGTTAAATATTTTCACCCTACAGGTAAGGAAACAGACTCAGATAATAAAAGCCTTGTCCATGATCACACATTGTGAGAAAGGAAGACATTTCTTGGTCAAACCAGAACTACTTACTTTTCAAAAATGTCATCTCTGTGAGGGGGCAACCCTTGGAGTTTAGCTGCAGTGAGCAGCCTTCACCCTCTTAGCTGCATTTATTTATCTGAAAGTTTGTCTAGCTGGAAGTCTTGGTAATTTGGGGCTACTCTAGCTCAGGTGCATGCGGCTCATATACAAAGTCTCAACAGAGATTTACTGCTGAAAAACTTCAACTGAACTATCACACTCAAAGGCAGGAATCTAGTGCATCCTGCTCCTGCTTTATTTCCATCCTGATTGCTTTGTGAAGCAAAGAGGAGAAATGAACCACTTCTTCTCCTTAAACCGCAAATGCAGCCACTCACCACTAGGTGTCTCCATAGGGAGGGACCATGTGTGGAGCGATGAGTGGGGGTGGAAAACCATTCATGGGAAGGTTGACCTCTTAATCCTGTCCTGCTCCCAGGAACCAATGGAAGATGAGAGAATTCAAATGCAAGTCCATGGAAGGTGGACTCCCTAAGGTCAGATCCAGGGTTTAGTTAATCTGCAGGCTCCCAAAGCTTGGACTGGCTACATCAGAATCACCTGATGAGCTTGTTGAAAGCAGGGATGCCAAGATTTCACTGAAGACAGTGGGTGTCAACTGTGGCTCCATGTTAGAACCACAGAGAAGCTTTTAGTAATCCTATGCCCCCCAGGAACAAAATAACAGAGTAGGCTCTTCAAGCCCTTCCGCAGAAACACTGAAGAAATAAGCAGAAACTATCAGAACCAACTTTGTCAGAACTCTGGAAAACTGTCCGAGGTGTACAGCAACCAAGTGAATGCTGAATTGAGAAAAAGCAACTTAAAATCAGCTCTGTGCAAGCAGGAAGTGATGTCTAAGGCAGAGTTGTGAACAGCTTGGCTTAGTGTTGAAGGAGCGCCCCGGCACAGACCCAATCTACAAAGATTGAAAGAGGTGTGTTTTGTTTTGTTTTGTCGTTTGTTTTTGCCACCTGAGGTTCAAGGAAATCTCCATCAAAACACTAGCTGAACATGAATGAGCTAAAGGAACAGAGACTTCACTGACCATATTGCGACAAGGAATACAGTCTTTGCAAAATATTTAGCAGAGTCACGAAACAAATGGGTAACTACAGCCTTAACAATCAAAATCAGCAAACTCTGGGGAAGGGAGAGAATCTTATTTTCAGAGTTACCACATTATAATACAGTAGTCCCCCCATTATCCACAGAGGATATGTTCCAAGACCCCAGTGGATATATGAAACCTCAGATAGTACGGAACCTGACTGCTATCAATTGGAACATGTTTCTGTTCATGTCTTCCACCAGCAAATGTAATGCCTTTTCCATCTTAACTAAGCACTTTTCACCATAACTTTTGCAGTTTGAGGTGCAACAGCAAATTTGGCATGAATTTCTTTTTCCTTCACAATTTCATGGATAGAAGATTTGTTCTTATCCTAAATCATAGCAACTTCAGCATATGATTTTTTTTTTCTTTCCTTATTAGGTCAAGAACTTTCACCTTCTCCCTTCTCTTTGGCATATCTGAATTGCCAGCATCACTAATTTTGTACTTTGGGGCCATTGTTAAGTAAAATAAGGGTAACTTGAACACAAACACTGCAATACTGCAAGTCAATCTGATAACCAAGGCAGCTACTAAGTGACTAACAGGCAAGTAGTATATACAGCATGAATACACTAGACAAAGGGATGACTCATGTCCTGTATGGGGCAGGGCAGGATGACATAAGGTTTCATCATACTACCAGAATGGTGTACAATTTAAAACTTATGAATTGTTTATTTCTGGAATTTTCCATTTAATATTTTCAGACCACAGTGGTCTGCAGGTAACTAAAACCTCAGGAAGCAAAACCATGGATAAAGGGGGACTACTATATTCAAATGTCTAATTTTCAGCAAAAAAAGGAAAACAAAACAGAACAAATCACTGGACATACAAAGAGACAGAAAAGTGTAGTCCAAAGGAGCAAAATAAATTGACATAAATTATCTCTGAGGAATCCCAGACATTGGACTTACGAGCCAAAAACTTTAAATCAGCTTAATATGCTCAAAGAGCTAAAGGAAACCATGGACAAGGAATGGAAGGAAATAAGGAAAACAATGTATGGAACCACATAGAAATTCTGGAGCTCAGAACTATAACTAAAATGAAAAATCTAATGCTCAGGCTTCACCCAGTCTACATCAAAATCTCTAGGGGTGCAACTCCAACATCAGTATTTTCCAGAGCTCTGTCAAGGTTGAAAACCTCTGTCCCAGGGATTCTGTTTTAGGAGGTCCAGGGCTGTGAATCTGAAACATGGGAGGCACAGTGACATCACCTGAAGAGCTTTGAAAAAATGCTGGTGTCTGGACCCTTCCCCTGATCTAATAAATGAGAAATTTTTGTTTCACTAGGCACTGGGTATTGGCATTTTAAACAAGCTTCCCTTATAATTTTGGTGATGAACCAAGTCTAGAGAGCATGGAGAATCTCATGTCGTCCAGCCTTTATATCTGTGAAAGCCTCTTTTTCAACTGAAAAATCAAGAGCCCCAATACCTAAGGTAGATAAGCTAATAACATTTGCTTATTCTAAAGTACATCGATGAGCCTGTTGGGGCTGGATTAAGTCGTGATTCCTTTCAGACTCAAAGTACTTATCGGGGCTTGGCATGTGGGAATATGGCAGCACACAAAACAAACACAGCCCCTTGCTCTCACGAGGCATTCATTCTAGCACGGGGGCCAGAAATAAGCCAAACATTGCACAGTCATGGCAAGCCATAAGAGAAGGTGAGACAAGAGGATAGAAGGACATGAGAACCCTCCATTTTGAATAGAGCAGTCAGGGTGTCCCTGGGCAGCTGACATTTGAGAAGAGGTCTGAAGAAAGGGAGGGAAGTTGTCTAGTACTGAGGGATTCATGGGGAAGAGCTGTTGGTTGAATAAAAATTTTAGAAATCGTGGTTTAAGGATGGCAGTCTCACCCTCAACATCAGCCCGTTTCTTTTGTTTTGGTTATATCTCTTATCCGAGCCCGACTAACTTGGTTCCTCTGCTTTCCATGAGCTGTGTATATTTGGGGCAGGCCACATGATCCCTAAGAGTCATAATGTCTTCAACTGTGAAGTGCACATGGTAGTCACACTAATACCTACCTCACTGTAGGGTTGCTGAGAAGGGATAATGAGATAAGGAAACACAGTGCGTGAGTGCTGTAGCCAGACCGATTCAGAGTCTGGCTCTGCCATTTCCTGGCCATATAACTGTGGACAAATTATTCAGCCTCTCTTGGTCTTTGGCTTATGTGGTAGGCACAATAACAGCCCCCCAAAAATATCAGTGTCATCATCCCAAACGTGTAAATATGTTAGGTTACATGGCAAAAGGAATTAACTTTCTACACTAGGAGCTCTGGAAATGGGTCCATCTCTTGTGTTCCTGAGAATCTGTGACTCAGCCCCCCTGAGGCAGTCCTCAAAGGGTGACCCATTCTCCATCTCACTTTCTGTGACACAGACTACTAGTTACTTAACCAGTGTCTCCCCTCCCCTTCTTACTCAGTAACAGAATCCTAATTTTGTTTGAATGACAATGTGCCCAGTTGAAAATACTTCCCACACTCCCTTGCAGCTGGGGGTGGTCCTCCTACCCAGTTTTGACCAATGAGATGTAAATGGAAATCTGGATGGGGCTTCCTGGGAATCTCTTGTCTTCCTCATGCAAAAGGGTGGGAAAACTCAGCAGGCAAGAGCCTTTTCCTCTTTGCCTTTGTTTTCAATCCTGCCTGGAATGTAGGCAAGATTTCTGGAAGTGAGGCAGCCATCTTGTGACTATGAGGGTGAGAGCCAGCTGCTAAGAATAGCAAGGCAGGAAGACAGAAAGAGCTTCAGTCCTTAAGGATTTCTTTGAGCCACTGTACCAGCCTGGCCTGCCTACCTCCAGGCTTCTTGTTAGGTGAGAAAATGAAGCTTTATTTGGTCAGATTTGTTCTATGCAACTCAGTGCAATCCTGACTGATAAGTTCTCCAAGAAAAGTCTCTGCCCTGTAGTCCTGACATGTGGCCTTAATAAGCATCTGTGGTGACTCAAAAATAGACCTGGGGGTGGAGGGATTGGCTGTGGCTGTGATTCTGAACTTGCTGAGCCATCACCTGTTCCATCCATGCTCTGAACAAGAATGCTGTTAATTACCTTGGGCAGCCAGAGCACAGGAGGCTGCTTCCATGTGTTCTCAGGGAAGCTCAATATAGCTCAGGCTCCTCCACTGCTTTTGCTGAGTGTGCAGCATCTGCATGTCTGGCAGCCCCGGTGCAGAACCGGGAAGCTTCTCCCAGAAGGTCAGGGTCTGCAGAAGGGGCTGGAAACCAGGGATGTTGGCAAGGCTTGGTGCAAGTACACAAGATCTCCTTCCTGTGAGGTGGGTGCTATTCTTTCTAGTTAGCAGATGACAAAACTC